ATGTCTACTTATTGTTTTTCTTCCTTAATCAAGGATCCTTGTTATTAATAGGAATAAATCTTTATCAAAAATATCAAACTACAATTTCCCAAAAAAATATTTAGAATTAAATAAATATTCAAATAATAATATTATTAAGATAAATATTTTGCATGTGCTGCTAGCACACCTTCATCTCCCGCCGACTCGGCTTTCCTTCAAACGCACCTCATCACCTCTTCGCTATGCCTAACAAGGGGCAGCCTTCGAAGGCAGGTTACTGGTATTTTGGTGGAGTAGCAAGTGCCATGGCGGCGGCCTGTACTCACCCCCTCGATCTGATTAAAGTCCACCTTCAAACTCAGCAAAAGAGGGAGCTGGGTATGATTAGTATGGGCATACGCGTTTTCAAAAATGATGGCCTCTTTGCTCTATATAATGGGCTTAGCGCTTCTGTTCTCAGACAACTGACGTACTCTATGACACGTTTTGGATTGTATGAAAGTTATAAAAATAGCAAGGGCGTTTCAAAGATGTCATTTGCTGAAAGTGCCGGAGTCTCTATGGCATCTGGGTTTGTCGGGGGTATAGTAGGCAACCCTGCCGATATGGTTAACGTGAGGTAGTTTTGAAGTTTCTTTTCATATATATCAACAAGCCACCCGTGCTTGATTTGCGTTATTTTATCCGATAATTTTCCGTCCTAGAATGCAGAACGACATGAAGGTATCCGCAGCCCAAAGACGCAAGTATGCCTTTTAAACATATTTTCGGGAATCGAGATATTTCTGATTGAAATGTGCACATTCATTATTTACAGTTACAAGCATGCCATTGACGGCCTCATCCGCGTTGCCAGGGAAGAAGGTGCTGTCAAACTGTTTAACGGAGTGACTATGACATCTACCAGGGCTGCTTTCATGACATTTGGCCAGCTCGCTTTCTATGATAAATTTAAGCAAGTTATGATCTTATCAGGATATTTTCATGACAATCCAGTCACTCATGTCTTGGCGAGTGTCAGCGCTGTAAATTATATTTTGCCATAGCCTATTTAAATATGCTTATTTCGCTAATCGCCCTCCGATTTTAGGCTGGTATAGCAACTTGTATGACCCAACCCTTTGATGTGATGAAGACGAGATTGATGAACGCTCCTCCAGGCACTTATTCGGTAACTACCCTTGATGTTTGCTCTAAGAGCAGACATTCTGTGCCACTTTTCTTTCAACTCTCAATCATATTTGCTCCTGTTAGAATATTAGAATATAATTTGAATCTATTAAGATGAGGTTATTAGGTTAATCGATTTTGGACATTCCTAGTTCCATGTTAATAAGGCGGAATTACGCGTTATTATTTAGTGGCTCATTCGTTTAATTTACCTTAACAGCTTGCAATTAATTTTATATCCCATATTAAACTGTTATGCATGATCACTAAGATTTTATTGGATATTTTTTGCCTTTATATTGAGTGCACTATAAATTATATAAAATAAAGAAAATCTCTTAAAATAATTGCGCTGACTGACATGTAGCTTGGTTTAACTTTTTAATAGGGCCTTTTACGCCAGATTCCATTAAACCTTTGCAAATCTACTTGTTCGAATATGACTGCTCAAAATTATATTTCTCCAGTAGGCATAGGTCCATATCCTTCATTTCTAATTTCACAGTCCCCGAGCATATCGAGTAGCCTGAGTTTTTGAAACGCCCAGCCTCAAGAATGTCGTCCAAGGGCTGCTCTTTTTAAAGTCGAAGATTCTCAATTGAGTATCAATGCAAGCAACTTTAGCTATTATCGAAAAATCTCTAACTCATTTCCATCTTTCTATTTCAGGGCTTAGCCAGTTGTGGCCTTGGTTTAATAAAAGCGGGTGGCCCGCTGGCTTTCTTTAAAGGCCTTGTGCCAGCCTTCATCCGACTCGGTCCTCACACGGTGCTAACTTTCGTATTTCTTGAACAGCTCAAACAGAATTTTGGATATATACCAACTTAATGAGAAATTTCATTACAGTCCTTTTAAAGCAAATTATGTTTTTAGAAGTTATTTTCATTTTTCTAGTCATCTAGCCTTATTCTAAAGCATTGCGCTGATTATATCAGCTGACTTTTTATATATCCTTCCATGTCCAATCTATACCTGCTTTGGCCACTTGGGTCTCAAGCAACAGACACTCCATAAAATAATTGGGATTTTTTTAGACGTATGTATTTTTGAAAATAAAACAGGCGAATACATGATACATTTACCCTCTTCTTTTGCCTTTGCTTTACATTTACCTATAAAGTGACGCATACTTAGCGATAGGTGTACAAATACTTGGATCGAGTGTATGTATTTTATGGGTTCGCTAGCATTTGCCCCGTTATTTGCACCTACTCCATTTTTCCTAGCTCAGAATTCATAATGCCTCTGCGGACAACTTTTCCTATAGATTATCGTTGTTGGGCTCTTTCTAGTTTAAGTATTCTATACATCAAGTCTATTGCGCCGAAGAGCTTTGGATTAATCTATTTATCGTTTAGCTTGAATGTCAGTACGAATAAAACAGGACAGCTCAGTTTGTGGCTTGTGGACTACACTTAATGGCGACGAGAAAGCTTCACTAGGTGGGGGCATAGTTGCGTGGAGCGAATTTTAAATAGTCATCTGGTCGGCGGATCCGCCCTTCATGTCTACCTCGGCCTCAGTAGGGCCAATACTGTTGCCGAAAATGACTAAAATCGGCACTTCGCGCCCGTTCCCACACGCGGATAGTGATGTGCAAGATGGTTTCTCCAAGCACGCAAGAACGGAGTATGGTCGAATTAGGTTTGATTATTAGACACCTAAACCATGTGAACCCACATTCTACCGAGGCCTTAGGCCCAGTATTAATTAAAAACCGATCCCTTACTTCAGGCGATTTGTGACATTAATCATGGGCAACACTGATCGTATTTCCCATCCATTTTTTATGTTGTGTGAGTCATTAATACGAGTGCGGCAAATTGAGTTGAGAAGAAAGCCCGGAACATTCTACATTCCTGTGTTAATGACACAAGCAGGCTTCACGTACGATTTAAAAAAATAATAATCATGCTATTGATCACATATAATAATTATACTCAAATAACGAGGTCTGAATAAATGATAGTAGAAAATAGAGTTATGATAATTCTGTGATTCGTCACATGGCCAACACCAAAATTGATCAGCGCGTGATGGTTATTCCGAGTTTCTTTAAACCCTGAGAAAATTTTGGAAAAATATGTTTACAAATATGCCGTGAAATGCACAAACGCCACATTTTCAACAAGGGCTCTACAAAAAAAGGTTTTTTGAAAAGGGACTTAACCAAAGGGTTGCCTATTATTGTTCTCTTGTCAGTAGTCGTGCTTGAAAAAACACGTTTCACTTGACTCCTGAGAATGTCTTTTCTTTCTTCTCCTTAATTAGCGATCTCCGATTTGTATTTAGAGTCGTTAACTTTCCAACAGAGGCCTATTATAAGTCATCGCTTCTATTTTATCCTGTGCTTCTTGGTGCACACTTCTAATTTTTGGGAGTTTCTCTTCACTTATCCTATTCCTGAATCCGCAAATGAACAAGTTTCACCTAAATGGATAAGATCATAAAAGCAGTAACTTGGTGGGCACATTTTAAAGCAAGCTTTTCACGAAGCGCTTCCACCGAGAATATTAACCAGCGTCACAGAGATGCCTAACTTTCTACAGTCTCAATAGGCTGCTCTTGGAGGTCAATATTCAGCCGCGGGTTCACTCTGGGTTAAAATAGTGTAAGTCAGACAACAACAATTTGGACCGATCTGTATTGTCATGAACCTTGGGCAATATTATGTCAGTCCCCATAACTTATATCTTTTTATAGCATTAAAATAAAATAGCATATATCTCTGTATTTCTGGGCCGTCTGGCATGTAATTAGCAAGGCTTACCTCTTTGAGAAATGCGTTGGAGCTATATTGTCCCGCCAGCACATTAAGTAAGCTCTCTCGATGTCCCTCTTCAGAGATGCCAACGTAAGCTACCTCGTTGAGCATACCCGCCCCCCTCTTTTTTGAGTTCTGGCAGCCGGTTGATACAGCAGCAACATAAGCGGATCGGCCTGTTGTGCTGACCACAGAAATAGAAGCAGTGTGCTGTCGTTGAATCCGACGGAAATTTGCTACGAGTCGGTCGAAGGGGATAAGTGAGTTGATAAGGTTCCAATCAGGCTGGGCCATAATATCACTGAAGAGTTTGCGGAAGAGAGATTACGATTGCTGTGTCAAAAATCTCTAAATAGATTTGCACATCGTCTATCTGTTTAAAAATAACATTGTCCCTAGGGCATCATAACATAGCTTTAAGGCAAGAACTGATGTTCTTTATAATCCTGGTTCCAACAAGCGGTCCGCTAGCTGCAATAAAAACATTTATCAGTCTACTTGTGCTAACAACGACAGAGATACGGAAGAGGCAATCTAAGATGAATGGTGATTCAAATGAAAATATAAAATCGTATTCTAATTTAGGAGTGGTGGCAATATATGTCAAATTATGTGAACATCACATGTACATGCATTCGAAACGCTGGAAGCTACATGGAGGTGTACAAATGGATTGGTAAAGCAGGAATCTTTGCGTGTATCGAAGTTGGCTAAAAGTCACAGGAACGGATAAATCAAGGATGGCATATAGTGGCTTAGACCATTTGCTGCGTAGGGACGTGGCACGGAGGAAAAATCAGATGAAGCATATAGAGACAATGTGGAAATGTGGTGTTGATGAGCTGATGCGAAACAATGTAAAGGACTCAACAAAATGGTCATTTGAGGACCTGGCTATGGCTTTGGTGCTTAGTAAACGCAATCTTTCTATCCTCGGAGAACCAACCTATTTTGCAACGATGCGGATAAAAGACTCAAAGAAACGGCACCTAAAAGTGGCGCAGAGATGCGGTGTGAAGAGACAAAAAGGAAGCGATACTGAGTTGGAGAAGGACAGGTCTCCCTATCGGTTAAAAGGTTTTCTAGTTGGGTATTCTGTGGCTCGAGAGAATTCTCTGATTGGAAAAGGAGAGTCAGTCCAGTGTTTGAATAGATGCTCAGCACGATCTGTTTTGCTTCAAACTTGTGGTTGGAAAAATTACATGGTGTGCGCGGCACCAGTGTAACTTGGGTGCAGAGGGGAGTTGGAATGAGGACCAATAATAAGCGTCAAATCCGCCAAGAGATGCGCATTATCTGAGATTTTAATTGTTATTACAATAATGCATGCATGGATTGAGAAGGAAATGAATGCGAGGCGTATACAAAGTGCAAATGCTAAATGCTAGTTAAAACTGTTAGACGGTAGAATGACCATAAACGGGTACCAAAATGATAGTTGTTCAACCGTCTTAGGTTGCGTGATTTACGTGGAAGTCTGGAAGAAAGGATGAGGAGGTAGTATAAAGTATACGAAAAAAAGTTGGGGTTCGAGGAATCTCTTGTTTTATACTTGTTGAGCTTACTTCCATTTCGAGTAGTGTTGGGTGAAGAGATTCGTAAGTCGGTTCCACCAGAAGACGACGGCGGGTTCCTCTTGAT